CCTTAACTGTTATAGTTAAGGCCACTATTGCAAATGTATAAGAATCTCCGAAAACGTCAATTTCTTACTGTGTATATCCCAGATCGAGCCATCACAGATGTATTTTACTTTTTGTGTTGTCAGCTAATCACCATCTTTTTCTGTCAATTCCTATAGTGAATACTTAATCAGAACCTAATCTTTTTATTCTAATGCTATCTGATCATTTTATTTTCAATTATCATTTCCTTGTCATTCAACTTCAATATCAGAAGCCAAACTTAACCTCTGTTGTAACCATAATTCCATAAGTAGACTGCCTGAGAGAAAAGACGTATTCACCTAGCAAAAGATGGAAAAAGAACAGCTTTCTTCTGTTACGTCAGTAATCCTCTCTCTCTCCCACTATTTTCTAAACAACTATGAAAGATAGACTGATTTAGTAATTTTGGCCTTTCTCCAAGTAAATATATTTTTAGCCACTGAAAATCCTCTCCCAATAGAAATGGGAAGGTGGCCTAGTATTCAGTCTCATTAGCAGTCTCATTAATAATTACAGAGATCAGATATTATCTTTGTACCCTCTAATTCTATTCTCGCTACCTGCTCTCCTAGGTACTTTGCTACTCTCTGTTGCTTTGTTAATAAATGAACTACTTTAACATGCAGAAGATGCACATTTCTCATGTCTCCTAGGAAAACTATTTTTATTTTTTAATTTTAATTTTAATTTTTTTTTTTTTTTTGAAACAACACTCTTGTTGCCCAGGCTGGAGTGCAGTGGCGCAATCTTGGCTCACCGCAACCTCCACCTACCAGGTTCAAGCAATTCTCCTGCCTCAGCCTCTCAAGTAGCTGGGACTACAGGCACACGCCGCCATGCCTGGCTAATTTTTTGTATTTTAACAGACACAGGGTTTTACAGTGTTGCCCAGGCTGGTCGCGAACTTCTGAGCTCAGGCAACCCACCTGCCTTGGCCTCCCAAAGTGCTGGGATTACAGGCGTGAGCCACCACACCAGGCCAGAAAACTAATATTTAAAAGAGAAAGCAATGCTTTTAACAGTCTAATTACCTGTTGGTTTTTAAACCCCTTATGTTTGATCACCATAACAGGATCATCCCCATATTCAACAGGAAACATACAGTGTGATTTACCAAACATCACATTACTGGGAGTAGAATTAGGTCTACTGAGAGAATGTCCTCTGCCCTAAATATACTGCCTTCCTCAGAGAAGAAAAGTGTCTTTTCAGAGCAAAATGAAGGATGTGCTTTATATAGCACAATGTATGAATATTACTGATATATGTATAAAATCAAAATCAAGTTCAGTACTTAAAGAAAAAATCTTTTATCTTCTTTGTAAGAAATGATTTCAAGCATGCCAAGAGACCACACTATAAATATTCTAGGCAGAAGGTACTATATTTCCTTTTCTCCCAGTGCCCCTAGCGTCTTACCTTATACAGTGAAGTACTTATCTAATGGCAACTTTTTTTTTTTGAGACAGTCTCGGTCTGCCACCCAAGCTGGAGTGCAGTGGTGCAATCTTGGCCCAATGCAACCTCCATCCACCTCCCAGGTTCAGGCGATTCTCCTGCCTCAGCCTGCCAAGTAGCTGGGATTACAGGTATGCACCACAATGCCCAGCTATTTTTTGTATTTTTAGTAGAGATGAAGTCTTGCCACATTGGCCAGGCTGGCCTCGAACTCTTGGCCTCAAGTCAGCCTCCCAAAGTGCTGGGATTACTGGCATGAGCTACCGCATCCAGCAAAATGGCCACTTACTTCTTAACAGAGCTCAACTATCTGCTAATAAGTTTAGCAGACTTCTTTGTATCTGAGTCACAGTCCAATACACAGAAATTACAAACACCCTCCACAAAAATCCTGGCACTTGTCATGAGACTCTCCTCAGCTGACGTTACTCTTACTTTAGATCAACAGTTCTCAACCATATCAGACTCAATGTGCATAAAATATGTTCCAACTTCTGCTTTACCACCCTGAAACAAAGTAACAATATTCCTACAGTTTCAAACAAATCCATATACTCTAAATAAGAGTGGAAAAGAGAAATGAAAATGATTTCTAAAAATAAATATTTTGATGTGGGGCAAAACTACACTAGAAAACTTAAAGAAGTAACTAGTAGCTGAACATGACATCTATGAATGCAGAGCTGTTTCTTATACAATTTTCCAAAACTGTAAACAACTCTTGGTCAAGTTGTGAACAAAACAATCTTCCTTCAATTGACATAATGGTTGCATGTGGAAACAGACGCTGGAAAATTCAGTCTCAGTTAAAGTCATCAGTTTACATGTAAAATGGAGGTTCCAGGCTTCGATAATTACAAATATTACACGAATATCGGGCAAGATATTCCTAAATCATACAGGACATGGGGACACTTTGTTCAGGACTGTCCCATATCTCTCTGGCCTCCACTCATCAAATGCAAATGGTTAGCCCCAATCATTACAACCTAAAAAAATGCCTTCCAATATCCCCCCAGAGGGCAACACCAGGCTAGATCCACTGCCTTAAACACAATTCTGCAGTCTAACCCAGTATAATGTAAAGAAGCTTGGTAAGCATGAATTGGATCTCCAGTTCTGTTACCAATGACCTATGTGATCACTGGCCAGTGAATTAACTTCTCTAAACCTCACTTTCCATGGTACCAAAAGGGAATAAACACCATCTGGCTTTTTAAGTTGTCAGAATGACTCAAGGACACGTGTATAGCACATGGTAGGTGGTTTCCAACCCATGGCCTATTGAGATGTGAAAAAAGGCACTGTTCCAGGTAAATAGAAAGCAGCAAAAAAGTAACCTAAATGTGGAAGAGGCAGAAGATATAATAAGCATACAAAATGAAATTTAACACACAGTAGTCTAGGGACATTTCAGAGAGCAGCCAGCAGTCCTATCTCAGCAACCCCTGAAGGCATTAATGTACTAGGATTAGCTGAAATAATTAATATTCACAATGATGACCTCCAAAGTAAAAAGGCAAGAAAGACATAAATTTTAAGAGACTTCAAATGTATGTAGCTGAATTATTTTTAAGTCTGATGCTTAAAGAGAGTGAATGTATTTCACAAACATTACTCAAATTTTTATTGGGCATTTGCTCTTAGGCTAGATAGTTGGAAAACACAAAGAAATCTAATACACCACACCTGTTCTCAAACATTTTACCATTCAGTACATTAGACACGGTAAAGGCAGAATGACACAGATAAGAAATAGAAATTCAAGCAATAAATTATGGGGACACAGAGAAAATTATGAATAATTGTCCCTAAGGAAAACCAGGGACATCTTCATGGCATAGGCCACTGAAAAATGAGGGCTCTGATAGGTACAAAAAGGGAAGTGTTAAGGGAAAAATAAAATATGGACAAAAGCGCTGAGCAAGAAAATACAGGTTGGTTCAGAGAAGAGAGGTAGGGAAAAGGTACATTAGGAGTTGGGGGTGAAGGTAGAAAAAGTACAGGCTGTAAAGCTATTAAGCTCTTTAAGGGCCTCTGTTCATGAAGGGATTTGAATGATATTTAAATTCATTTGAGTTTTATTGAACAAGAGAGTTCGACAAAAACTGTTGCTTATGCGGTAAACCTGATACTCAAATATTGCTGAATAATGGCCAAAAATAAAAGACTCAGAGTACATGCAATTACTGAGATTCCTGAAATTAAAAAAATATATTCTTGACATGAATTAATAAGCAAAAAGAACCTAACCCAAGAGTTGAAAGTAGCTTCTGAGCTTGTTTCTTAAATAATCAAAATATTACCCAATTTATTGACTGAGAACTGAAAATAATTTAGGATAATCTGTTGTGTCCTTTGATATTCTTCCATGCAAGTACAAGTATTTCCTAGACATTATTTAGCAATGGCTCACATCACCCCTGAAAGGCAAGAAACAGGCTACAGTATTATTATCCCCTTTTTATCACAGGGAAACTGAGTAACAAGAAGAAGAAATTACAGATGGTCACAAAAGCCATCATATTTTCTAGGACTTTAAAGGCTTCAAGCCTACAATCATCTTTTATTCTTTGCACTATCTGAATACTAGAATTATTTTACTATCGTCTTAACTGGAAAAAAGAAAAATATCTAAACTTTAAGATCATTTTCTCAATTTGGTACTGTCACACACACAAAAAAGTTTTAGAAGGCTACCCCTTGAAATGATTTTTTTTTTTTTTTTTTTTTTTTTTACAATTCTATCCTTGAAATGATATTTGCAAGAACACCAACCTCCAAAAAGTGACAGTTGTAAATATAACAGCAGGACAGGTCAGGAATCCTAGGCCCAGCTTTTACTCTGAACATCTGGCAGGCCTCAGGGAAATAATGGAGATTTGTGTCTGTAAAACAGCCTTTGCAGATGCTCTGATGAAAAGGTGCCCTAAGAGGCCCAGAACAGTAGTTATCTCTACACCCACTACCGCAAACATGAAATCGAATGCTCTCCTCTGTCCCTCCCTGCATTGCACCATGAGACTCGTGGCACACACGGAGGTCTGTGCAAGAACCTAAGTTCCCCTTAAAACGTGGTACTGTAAGGATGCCCTTGTTGCTGGGCTTCCGTCAACCGTGAGGGTACCGGATGCGGCCAAGCACACCTCAAAGACTTGGCTCTCCAAAACCAAGGCCTGGTCGAGAGGGTTTTGTTGGACACCGAATTCCTGCTAATACCTCAGTTTTCACACAGGCACTGCCAATCCCTACCCTCCGGTACCCTTCCTCAGCCTCCCGCCCCCGTCTCGCCGCGAGGTGGGCGTCCCAAAGAGCTAAGGAGGAGGGTAAGGTTGGTTAGAGCGCGGGGGCCAGGGTTACGGCCGCGGCCGCTAGGCCGCCCAGCGCGGACTAGGGTCCCGCCGATCCGGGCCGGGAGCCCGGCTGCCTGGGCCCGACCCGGGCCCGGGCCAACGCGCCGCCGCCGCCGCCTATCAGCGGAGCGCAGGGGCGGGGCTGGCCGGCTCGGCGGCTGGGCCGGCAGGCGGGGGCGGGCGGGGGACCGACCGCCGCGCAGCCCAGGCCGCCGCGCGCACACACCGGGCCCGGCTCCCGAGGGCGTCAGCGCGGCCCCGGAAAGCTCGAGGAGCCGGCGAAGCGCGCGGCCTGCCGTTGGCGGCCCGGTCGGCAGCGCTCTGCGCCCACCCGCCCGGACCTGGGGCCCAAGCCCTAGTGAAGATGGTGTCCTGGATGATCTCCAGAGCCGTAGTGTAAGTGCCGCTCACGGCTCCCTGCAGCCGGTGCGAGGCCCAAGCGAGCTGTGGGGAGGGGAAGGAGCCAGGAGGAAAAGGAAGGCCTGGGCCTGGGCGGGGACGCGGTGGCCCGGCCTCGGGCCTGCGGCGGGGCTGGGGGAGCCCTCGCCCTCCTTACCCTTGTTCACGTCGCTGTGGGGCTCCCTGCGGCGGCGGAGGGCCTGACTGCGGCGGCTGCGGCTGCGGCTGCGGCTGCGGCGCTGCCCGGCTGCGTGCGACGCGGCGCCCCTGCTCCGGCGGTGCTGGGTGGGCAGGCGCTCAGAGCTGGCGACGCGCGCTCCCTGCTCCTGCTCCCCGCGCAGCGCGGCACCGCCCTGCGGACCCGGGAGCGGCGCGCCTCGCAGCGGCTCCCTGCGCAGGCTCCGCAGACGCCGAGCGCGGGAGGCTCCGTGATCCTCCAGAGGATGCGGCGGCAGTGCCGAGGCTTTGTATCCCGCGGCTGATGCGTTGCGGTGTCTCTCTTGGCGGCTGATTGCCATTCGGTCACGTGTGGTAGGAGGAGAGATTTGTCTAAAAACCCGAGACCGCTCCCAGCCCAGGATCCCTAGGAAGGGTCCTGGTTGTCCCAAGATTTGCAGCTTACCGAGAAAGGCGCCTAGTATTGAAAGGTGACACCCGGCTGCTTGCCCAGATCCCCGAATTTGGCCCTGTCTTGGCGGAAATAATTGCTAAGTGACTGAAAGGCTGCAGGTGCCTGTTGCCTTTGTTCAAATTATCGGTTTCATTGTTCTTCTACCAACAAGTGCTACAGGCCTGTGAGAAAAAAAATTCCTTGCGTTGTGGTGTTAACCGTGTAAACGTATTTGAATACAATTTAAACTGATATTCTCTCATCCTCCCCATTTTACCCCCCTCCCTGATTTAAAAAAAAAAAGTCACCAAGTAAACAATGACGTAGTTACAGCTAGGGCCTGTGGATTCATTATTCATCTCTGTAGTAGTTAATGTTATCTCAGAAGGTTTCATAAAGGTACATGAAAAAATGTTTATGTGAGGAGGCAGGCTTCTCTGATTAGCTTTAGAATTTAGGAAAAATTAACATTACCAGATTTTTTTGTTAAAAGGAGCTAAATTTTCTTAGTCTGGGGTTTATTTTGTTTGGAAGTGAATTATCCTATTTAATCAGATTTGCAGGACAGCATTCAAAATTTTTCGTTTGATTACATTACAAAGTTTCTAGTTTTAAAGCCTCAAAGCTTCCTTTGTTCCCCTGTACAAAACTAAAAATCAAGATATAAACAAAAGGATATCACAGATACCTTCAGTTTGTTTTTCAGCCTTTTCCTGGCCTCTCTTTGCGTCTGTCATTTACCTAATTCAGGCATACCTTTCTTGACCCAGTAGATGTCTATCAACTGTTGTGTCCACACCTAGAAAATCAAGTGCCCTATTAAGAAGCTGTACTTTACAAAAAAAAAAAAAGCCTCTGAATTTCTTTGACCAGTTCTTCAACTGACAGAAAATTATGAAGCACGTATAGGTTGCATTACTCATCAGACTTTTGTTTTTTATAATTGACAATGAATACGAATGTCTGTTTTAGGTGCTACCTGTAACACAAAGATCAGTAACACGTAGTTGATCATGTGAATTGACAGTTCACGTGCACAGATATCTGCAGTACAGGTCCAAATGTTAACTCTTGTAAGAGTTACACCCAGTCTAATACCCAGTGTTGGATAAGGAAGGGATATCTGGTTAGAGAATCAGAAAAGGCAAGGGAAATTACCTTCGAGATGGGCTTTAAAGAGTAGACAGGCCAGGTAGAGTGGCTCACACCTGTAATCCCAGCACTTTGGGAGGCCAAGGCGGAAAGATTCTTTGAGCCCAGGAGTTAGAGACCAGCCTGGGCAACCTTGTCTCTACAAAAAAAAAAAAAATTAGAAAGTCACAGTAGCTCACACCTGTAATCCCAGCTACTCAGGGACTGAGGTGGGAGAATCACTCCAATTCAGGAAGTCAGGGCTGCAGTGAGCCATGATCATGCCACTGCGCTCCAGCCTGAGCCACAGAGCAAAACAAAAAAGAATGGACAGAATCTAGCAGCCAAAGATGAAAAAAGGAAAGGATTCCAGATATGGGGACCAGTGTGAGCCAAAGCCCAGAGGAGGAAAAGCCCAGATTAGTTACAGTGGGCGTGAGGGACTTGGGTAGGGAAAAAGCAAGCTGGAAAAGTAGCCTGGGGCCTGTTTTCAAGAGAGAAAGGGTGAATGTTATAAGGCAGCAACAGCTTTGCTTTAGAAGATTCTCTGCCCTTGTGTGAAATGATTGGCAATGGAGACCTGGAAGACAAAGAGACTCCTTAGGAGGCTCCCTAACTGGAGAGAGGGGATTAAAGCCTACAGTGCTTGAGCTACAGAATGTAAGCTTTGGGGCTAAAGACAGGGAACAATAATGTGAGGAAGAAGAGGTCATGAAAAGAAATGTGTCTATCAAGTGTCAGGAACTGTATTTTGTGAACCAGGAACACATTAGCACATTAGAAAGCACACTTATCAGAGAATGTAAACATCATTCTGTTTTTCCTCTTTATTCAGTTTCTCTAAACATGAAAGAGCAATCACAGGATCTACACAAACTTGGAAACCTTTTTCACACCAGGAGATAGAATTTACTTGTATTCTTTTTACTGAGACAACCATCTCTTCCTGAGCCAGATCAGACCCTTCTCTCAACATGAACCTGTGGTAGCATGGGCAGGGAACCTCCATACCCAGAGCATCCTGTATGCTCAGTCTAATACCCAGTGTTGGATAAGGAAGGGATATCTGGTTAGAGAATCAGAAATCTTTGTCCCCAGATCCTGCACTTAACACTGGGGGCAAAAGCCCTGGTTTTGGAATTAGCCCTGGACTTTTTTTTTTTTTTTTTTTTTTCTTGAGACAGAGCCTTTCTCTATCACCCAGTCTGGAGTGCAGCGGTGTGATCTTGGCTCACTGAAGCCTCCGCCTCCCAGGTTCTAGTGATTCTCATCTCTCATGCCTCGGCCTCTCAAGTAACTGAGACTACAGGCGTGCCCCACTACAGGTGCGCACCACCACGCCTGGCTAATTTTTTTGTATTTTTAGTAGAGATAGGCTTTCATTATATTGGCCAGGTTGGCCTCGAACTCCTGGCTTCATGTGATCCACCCACCTTTACCTCCCAGAGTGCTAGAATTACAGGTGTGAGCCACCACACCTGGCCCTGGACACCATTCCTAACAACTGTGTGGTCTTGGGGAGCATGCTAAACTCTTCTGAGCTTCAGTCTTCTTGTCTTTAAGTGATTATAATACTTACCACATGAGACAGTTGTAAAGAAAATTAGCCAGGCATAGTGGTGCACACCTGTTAATCCCAGCTGCCTGGGAAGCTGAGGCACGAGAATCACTTGAACCTTAGAGGCAAAGGTTGCAGTGGGCTGAAATCGTGCCACTGCACTCCAGCCTGGGCAATAGATCAAGACTCTGTCTCCAAAAAAAAAAAAAAAATGTTGTGAAGATTAAATTAGTTTAACTAAAACATGTAAGTGTAGTCCTTGGCATTGAGTGTACACTTAAAACGTAATAGTTACATAGATAGCTTTTTTATGAGGAAAGTGAGTAAAATGGTGTAGGAAGAAATATCATTGGATTATTATCAAGAAACTTGGAATTTAGAACTGGCTTTGGTTACATTAACCAGCTGAATAACCCTGAGGCAGTCTCTTGCTAATTGTAGACCTCCGTTCTTTTTTTTTTTTTTTTTAAGGCTAGTCAAGTGAAGCAGTGGGAGTGGAGAAGGAACAAAGAAATCTGTAACTGGTTGTGATCAATTAGTTGTAAACACCACTGCACTCGGACCAGCCCGTAGACCTTGATTCTATTTCTCAGAAGGGGCAAAGAGACCTGATAACCCCCAAACTCTTTTATGAGGCCTTAGCATTCTGTGATGATACGAAATTATTTTTCCTTTACTGTCTGTTCAAACTCAACTTACTTTAACTTCACAGGCAAGATTGACAGATTAGTTACCAATTTTTAAGGGTTAGTAACCTGATATTACCAAATGATGTTCCATTCATACGTGATATCCACACCTCATCTTTTGAAACATGACTCTCACAAGTTGAGGGAAATCCCATTTATTTCCCTAACTTTTCTTAATTTGTTTTTATGATGCAGCATTGTAATTAAGATCAAGATTAAAGCTAAATTGCCAAATTCAACTATTAGCTCTGCCATTTATGCATTATAACCTACCCCATGGGATTAAATGCATTCATATATGTAATGTCCATAGTCCAGTATCTGGCACATATTAAGTATTCAGTAAATGCCAATAGTAGTTATCAGAACAAGGAAAAACATACTCTCCTAAAGTCCCAGCATGCTGAATGTTTACACTATCTTCAATATACATTTTTTAATTTGAATTATTTTGTGTGTAATATAATTTGAGTGTAGTAAAAATGTTATTCTTTATTATTATATTGTAAGAATCTTCCATGTTTCTCTGAAATCTTATTTAATATCTTCTGTTTGATCAGGCCAATATTATTTTCTTAGCCATTCATCTATTTGTATTTAATTTTGCATTTACATATTTTCTAATATTTCATTATTATAAGTAATGCTGAAATGCAATTATAATGCTATAATGGACATTATATATACTTCTTTTGAAGTACATATTTCTTTGGGATAAATACACAAGAGGAGTATTTCTGAGTCAAACACTGAATACTTTTATGATCACTGATATGAATTGCCAAATTGCTCCCCAAAGGATATTAATATTTTATATTGCTAGCAGCAATGTAGGAATACTGTCTTTATCACAATATAGCCAGAATTAGAAGTTTTAATTTTTTAATATTTTACCAATAAATATAACAGATCTCATTGTTTGCTTTTGTGTTTTATTTATCAGCAAGGTTGAATGCTTATCCCAAGTTTTATTAATTATATATCCGATTGTGCATACAGTACGTATATA